TATATATATATATATATATATATATATATATATATATATATATATATTATAAATATAAATATATGAAAAATATATCAAAATGCATGTGGGTACTCAAATGAAAGCTCTTGATGAATATAACATCGGAATGAGCTTATATCTTTAAAAACTTCAATATTTAAGAAAGTACAGTGCAATTTACCAAAAGTCATTATTTAATTAATTAATCAAAAATTTATTTATGATTCACAATTAATGGTAGTCACAAAGTGACTGCAAGGTTGCTAGTTATTATTAATTAACTTTATTAAAAAAAATTTTACCAGAGTTATTAGGCTCCTCATCTTGCATAATATTAATTATTTCACCCTCCTGTCCGTCTTTGTTGGGCAGTGAGTCTTGGGGGAATTTATTTTGATTTGCGGAGATAGCCCCGACGCTTCCAGCGTCTTTGTTCAGTGATTTACTGGGCGGGCAGGAAGCGTGAATGCCTGTAGCGACGCTCTGGAGGAATCTCGCGGCGTCAGTGGCTGCTGGACCTACCAGAGCTCGACATTTGGCCTCCTCTTTATCCCAGGCGCAGTAAGGGTCTTGCAGGGCGACGCACTCCCCGCAGGAGAGAATTCTGTCGCTGTAGCACCTGTGCAGTCTCAGGGCTTGCACCTGGCTGTCGGCTACGACCACCAGACGTCCATCCTCCAGACCATCCCCGGCCTGCGACGCTCTTACTACTTTTATCCCGCGAACTGGCACCGAAGTCGGGAATGCCTGGATTTCTTCTATCACCACTGGACTTACTCGCTCGTGAGAGTCCGCGGAATCCGCGTTTATCGCTTTTATCACTTTCCCGTTGTCTGTTCCGATGAACAACACGTCGTAGGTCTTTCCTCCGGGAGTTTTCACTTGTGGGTCCACTGCTATTTGCGTGAATCTGTAACTAATTCCGGGAATTTATTAATTTTTTGGAGCTTGGTAAATTAATTTATTTAATTATTGAATTTCTTTTTTGGCTGGAAAATTTTTGCAATTAATTTTTTGAAATGTTGAAAACTTGGAAAATTATTTTAGTATTATTGAATAATTTTTTTGACTAGAAAATTGTTGAAATCCATTTTTTTTTTAATGTTTAGAGTTTAGAAAGTTATTTAATTATTTCTTTGACTGAAAAATTGGTAAATTTTATTTTTTTAAATGTTTGTTAGTTGAAAAATTAATTTAGTTAATTATTGAATTATTTTTTTGGCTGGAAAATTATTTTGCTGAAGAAGTAGAACACGGGGTCAATTTAAGTTACGGGTATTAATTTTTTGAAATGTGAGATTAAATGAATTTATAGAGGATTTTAATTGATAACTTTGGCTGGAAAATTCATTTGTTAATTGAAGGTAATTGAGATAGAAAAATGTTTTATGGCTCAGAAATAATAAATTGCTTTAGAGTTTAGTCTAACGAATTTTTTTACGCTATAAATTCTGAGTATTGAAAAATTAGGAGGTCATTTTTCTGTTATATAAATTAGTTAAAAAAAAAAATCAATATTAATAAAATAATATAACTGATTAATGACATTTTGATGACACAAAGTGTTAATCATGATTATTTTTTTTTTGGTTTATGTTTAATTTCTGGTTCATGTTTAATTTATAATTATTTCCGTGTTGGTATGAGTTGATAAAGATTATATTTACATAAATATTTGTTCGATAATTCACGCAATATGTTAACTAACTATTATCGCCGAAAGGCGTAATAAATAAATCGATAACATTATAAAGTTATGCATACACATATATTACATCAAATTATGTATTATTATTGTGAATATTTTAATTTTATCGCAAAAGGAAATTAATTTTTTTCTTTATAAAACAATAATAATAATAATAATAATAATAATAATAATAATAATAATAATCAATTATCCTCTTATTAAAAAGCTAAAAATTGATTAAATTTTTAAATAAATTTGCTGAAAAATGAATTAAAATTTTTTTGGAACGAATTAAAATTCTGTTTTGAGAACCAATGAATTAAAAATAAAAATAATAATAATAATAATAATAATAATAATAATAAAAACTTACTGAAAGCTAGTACGAATAACAATAGGCTGGCCAAAGAAACTTGGCACAGATTCATCCATCAGGGAATGAGTTTTAATAAAGTTCAATGTAAGATCTGGCAGCGTCCGGGAGTCATTGACACACTGCCCGGGCCTTGGATCCGGAACTTTGGCACTGGCCACCGGCAGCCAATTGGCATTTATCGCCGTCTGTTCTTTGAAGTTACCCTCAAACGTGTCTGAGATGTCTTGCAGCGAAAATGCACAGACCGCGGAACCGCTTATACTGTTTACTGGCGTAGTGAATGCCCCGTAGATAAGCTGAGCCGACACGCTCCCGTACTGACCGGATATTAGATCAGTTGTTGATTCTACAAATACAATAAATATAATAAGATATAAAACACATTTGTGTTACAGATATCTTTATATTTATATGGACTATAAAAACTCACGTATTTCATTGAAGTAAAATGGAAAATCTCCCGTAACGGAACAATTCAAGCGAGACTTGAGAAACGATGTCCATCTATTCCGAAAACGATGCGGACCTCCACGGTCATATTTACAGACCCTCGCAACCCGAGAGTAGACGGCCTGCAATTTTTATTTACACCGTCAATAAATATTTTCTTCGATTAGGAAGACTAATTTTAAGATCAAAATTAGATAATTACCTTGCCGCAATTAATGTACTCAACAGCGGTTTCTCGGAAGAAAAAATAAACAAAGTCACCCAGTGTCATTGAATTGACGAAATTTGGAGCTGAAAAAAAATTAGAGGGAAATTTTTATTAATGTTATATACACAAAAAAATTTGTTTATCATTTTGTTAAATAAAATTTTTGCTACTATTTTTAAGTTGAATTTTTAACAATTTTTTTTGTTATAAGTTACAAAATTTAAAGGTTTAAACAATTGTAATTGTATTTTAATTTACTGGAACATGTTTTTACAGAAGGTGAGTTGTTTCAAAATTTTTTTCAAAATTATTGAGACTTTTTTTTTAAATTAAAAAAAAAAAGTTACAAAAATTTTTATTTTTGGGCTTTGTTAAGATTTTTTAAACATTCTTTCATTAAAAAATTTTTTTTGCCTTGAAAATGTGTTTAAAACAATTAAAAACAAACAAATTGCATCACATTCCAAAATTTTATAAAAAAGAGCTTCAAGTTTTTCCCAAATTTACTATTTTTCATTTTTTTCGAGCATCAAAATAGAATTCGGATTATAAAACACAACTTTCAATGTTTATTAATACATAAAAAAATTATGACTACAAAATTTTCTTATCGCAAAGATGAAAAATTTTCACTATGTAATTTTGATTAAAGACTTATGAAATTAATTAATTTGATGGAACGATTTTGATTGAAAATTCCCTGCTGATTAACTTATAAAAATGAATACTTTGAAATATTTTCACCAACAAATTATAAACTGTCGATTGTGAATTAGGTGAGAGAGTTAATTGATTGAAAGTTGGCAAAGAACGACAAAGTTTTCTATCGCTCTCAAGCTCGAGTTGGGAGCATTGTTCGCCCTACAGATACCGTGATATAACGGCTAACTGACTAAATTAAAATTCCCTTCACTCATTTAGTTTCAAGAGTGTATGAGTACGAGGGTACATTAATTATCATTCGACATATTAATTGGCCGGCTGCTGAGAGCCCGAGCTTACGCGGGAGTGGGTTCAGTCTGCCATGGGATTCCACCCAGATTTAGTATTACGAATTACGGCAAATTAATATCTCCATCATCGCTTATTTTGTCACTTTATTTTGTCTTTGTTTAAAAAAAAAAAAAAAACACATTGCTGATCGCAAGTATTCGAAGTTTTGAGCTTCATCTTAAATCTGATGCACATAGTTCGGACAAGTCATTATAAATCGCTCGAAAACGAATCGCGATATTTTAAATTTACTGTCCTGATAACTGCGTCACTCCTAGAACTGTAATCTGTGTAATTTAAAGTTTTAGTGACTTTATAATATTACTTTTATTTAAGTTTTGAATTTATTTTTTCTTTTCCCCCGCAAACTCCGCTTATCGTTTTGTGTTTGATTTGTAAAACTTTATCTCAATTTTTTTGCATCACTCCAAGAAAAAGTCACGGCCAAATTTAGAATCGATAAAAAATACTCTCGAGTTTTTTTTTTCTACTCGTTTTATAGCACTTGTATATTTTTTAAATTTGTTCTGAATGAATTTTATACTTAGAGTTCAAATTATTTATTAATTAAACTGTCGAAAATAATTTTAAGAAATTAGTCTTGTAAAAATTTTTTTTTACTTTTTAAAAAAAATAAATTTTGATTGAAAAAAAATTTTTATCAATTTTTCATATTTTTTTTTCGTAAATTATTTAAAAAAAAATATTTTTTCATTTTTTAATTCAAAGATAAATAGATGAAAATTTTTAAAGATGAAAAAAATTAATTTAGATATTATGAAAAAATTTTTTATTAAAAATTAACATATTAAAAACTTTTAAGTAATAAATATTTGAAAGTGTTGTAATTTTATATTAGAAAAGTTTTTCTAGAACAATTGAGTAATAATTTTATGACACGACAGTAATAACTTGTGCTGTGTATACTCAGTCGTAAAATTATTATGAAGCTATTAACAATGCGATCTATTTTAAATTTTACTTCTGTTCCTATGCTCCTATAATGAAACATAAAATTATATTCAATGTAATGTAAAGTACGTATATAAATATACATACTTAATATGAACTTTTGAACTCCGGTATTTTTAGTGTCGATCAATTATGACACGGCATGAAGCGTAATAAGGATGGAATTGTCTGTTTTAAATCTTGAGCTTTTATCCCGACAATTTAACATCAGCTCCCTTGGAGTTTTATCTATCTTTCTCGGAGGACACCGAAACGCTTTGCAATTTTATTCATAATAAAGTTATGACATCTAGTTGTAAAAATTATATAAAAGGACACTTTTTATATTATCAAATTTCAAATAATAAAATAAATGGTGAGATTATAAATTATCAAAACCCAAGTAATAATTTATATTTATAACATGATTAAAATTTTATGTTAGTAGTTGCTTTCAGAGCCTTAAATCCCGGTAATTATTAATTTACGTTCCATTAACATCCACTGAATATTTTATGACATTTTAAAATCCTAATATTAACAAAAAATTTTTGAGTCAAAAATTTTATTAATTTATTTTAAATAAATTATCAAAAATTTGTTATTACAATTTCTAATATTATAAATTAAGAATCAAGAATTGTTCTTTTTTATCGTATCCTGTAAAAAAATTGTTTGATGTTTATCTGGTTATATATAACCATATATATTTATAAGAATATAAATATGCGCCACCTGTTGGAGATTTTTAACACTATTTTTAATGAAAAAATTATTTATGGATATATTAGACTATATCAGGTCAAATATGACCTTATCAGAAAATTTTTTAACAGAATAATAATGTCAATTTATGATTGTCGTTCATTATTGAAGTAATACTTAAATTTTTTTCAGAATTGACGTATATTATTTTCAAATTAACGAACTTTTTTCGATAATTCGAAAACCCTTAAACAAAAAAGATCAATAAATAAAGTAAAAATGTCGCAAAATTCAATGATACTTTGGTCGTAGCTATTTTGTCTAATTACCCGTGATCCTTTATGTATATAAATAATAAAATAAATTGTCCTCTGATGAAACTTTTCGACTGCGTCATAACTGACCTTTTAAAACTCATAATTGTTATCAACAAACAAACTAATTTATTTGACATCTATATGACTCAAAAATCCGGAAATCCACATCGACCCTATTTTATTTCCACGGATAAATATGTCATTCCATTTTAATTTAAATGCAGCATATTACGTTATATATTTAAAAGGGCATTTAACGGTAAATAAATCTATCTCCTGACTCCTGACCCAAATTTCAGCCCTTGGTAGAGTACTCGGTAATTCGATTATGATCATCACCGAGTTCAATCCTGTGTAAAATAAAAAAAGCTCCGCCCGTTTTAGTTTTCGGTGAAACGTGAAAGTGCATGCCGGAATGTTGGATAAAAATGATATAATATAAATAAATTTTTACCATTTAAACTCATTGAGTCGTACTGTTCAGTTTGGAGCGGCTCTCTATAAATAATGGGGTCCATCCCCGAGAAGTCAGCAACAGTGCCCGTGTACAATTCACCGTCGACGTGCACAAATGTGCTATTTTGCTGGGGGTCGTATGGACACAATGCTTGACCCGCCTTCTCACTTGCCATCGTATAATTTCCGCTGTGTACAACGTAGTCACGGCACATCGGCTTAAATGCGTTTGTCGCACACACTAAAAGATTCGACGCACTTGTTTTCGCCAGTATCCTCACATAATTCTGGCAATTCTCCTCGTCTTTTCCCTTTACAACGCACATTTTAACGTCTGTATCCGAGGAGTACCACGTCAGCCTCTGCTGCTCCGTCAAATCCGTCAAACTCAAATTATGCACCAGGTTTCTGGAAATTAAATTAATTTAATTAAAAAAATGATTTATTTGTCTAATATAAAATAAATTATTTTAATCGTGATCAAATAATTTTAAATAAATTTCTTTTTTACATCTGTGGAATTTTTTTTTATTGTCAGTACAAGAAACATCCTTTAAAGAGGTACTGTGAAAAATCACTTTTCTTTACAATATTCTTCAATTTTCGAATACGCGTACTTTTAAGTGTCCTCTATATGAATAAATTTTTTTTATTAGTCCTTGCGGCGCTAATTTTCGAAATATTAGCAATTAAAAATCGTACATCTAACATGTATTCACTATCCTGACCGTAGTTAGAGTGAACATTTTATAGAATATTTTATTGAAGTTATAACAAGTATTTTTTATCAAAAATAACATAAACGAGCGGTATTCATTTTTTTATAAAAAATGTTTGAAGTTAGCGACTTTCGATATTTTACGTTAGTGGAAGTAAGTGAGCGATAGTCTGTAAAGAGAGGCAGCACTAGCGCGTGAGAAAGAAACCAATAGCCATAACCTATTGATGTCCTTTTTTACATGATATACCTCCTTAAAATTAAAAAGATGCTTTACCGAGCCCATAACCTGTTGAAATTTAATTTTAAAATGACAATTATGAAAAATTAACTGGGCCCATAACCTAATTACATTTAATTTTACTTCAAATTTCTGTATTATGAATTTGATTAAATAAATTTACAAAATAGTTAATTTTTTAACTTTTATTATACGGAACTTTATACTTAAATTAATTTTTTTTTGATAACGTTACAAATAAAGGATTTTTTTAATTAGCTTTTTTTGTTGCTAGAAGAATTTTAATGACAGTTTTTTAAAATAAAAAGTATTATTTGAGGATTTTAAAAAGGAGACAAATTCCCTTAAGAAATGCACCACAATCAATAAAACGAGTGGACAATAAAAATTTTGATATTGCCGACTGATAACAAGTTTGAAACTTGGATAAAAGTTATCGACTGAAGGATAAGACTTCTTTGATCAAGAATGTCAAGCCAAGAAGATAAATAATTTCTGTCTTTAATTTTCTTTTAAAAAATTGTTAAATAATCATAATCTATTAAATAAAAAATTATCATGGATTATCCGATTGAACTCGCTTGAAGCAACTAAAACTTTAAAGTATTCACACCCACCCACTTAAAATCCCATAAGCTTTCAACTTTAAAGCAAAAGCCAGCAAATTTGTTCATTTTTGGTTGCAGAAATCTATCGAGTAGTAAATGTAAGTTTAAATGAATTTATAATAATCTGTGGTGAGTTAATTTCACTTGAATTTTAACTTGGGGATGAAGAACTGAAAAGTAACATTGAAAGTTTTAACGAGATCATTACAAACACGTTGAAATCCCGGTGAGTGGACGAGGGAGTAACGACGACCATTCTACTCGTACAAATTCAACAGTCCTTCAAAAAGTTGATATGCTCACGTGTTTTCTTAATACTAACCAGAAACATGCCTTTTAATTAAGTTTATATAACGAATTTTCACTTTTTTTTATTTTTGTCTCGTTTACGTTGTTATATTTTTAGACAATTAAATATTTATATCACATTATATACTGAGACTATAAATAGCGATACCGGCTTTTAAAATTCCATTTCTCGAGATAATCTAATGATAATTAGCAAAGTACACTAAGTTTTGTTTTGTTTTGGATAATATGAATATAAACATAATCATAATTTATATTCTGAGAGACTGCTACTGAAGTAACTCTACAAAATGAAGAATAAGAAGAAGATGGTAGAGGAAAAAATTGCTAGCTTGAATAATATAATTACCGTCCGCCAACAAGAAGGTAGTTCCCGTCTCTCAGCACCAGCCGGAAAAAGTCCGTGTGCGTTTCATTTCCAGTAAACCTGAATACATCTTCAGCACCTGTAATACAAACAAAAAAAATATTATTACTTGCGGTAATTATTATGGTTACCTTTAATTGTAATTATACATTTTAAAAAATACATTTTTGTCTGCAGTTGTGAAATTAAATTCATTTTTTTTTTTACTTATGATTAATTGTTATCAACATAATTAATGAACTACTACACGGAAAAAATTTTTAGAAAAAATCACAATTGTCTAAAATTTTTTTTCTGTGAAGAACAAAACAATATTCTTTAATAAAAAATCATTTCAGAGCAATATTTCTTCAAAATTGATGACCCGACAAAATATCAATACCAATTATTGAATATTGCAGTGAAATATTCCCAGATTTATATTTAATGGAATACAAATAATATGAACTATTTTCGATTGGAATTGACCATAACAATTTTTGGAAAGAACTAAAAATAGCACATCGGTTTTGTTATTTGACCGCGGGTACTTATGGAAATAGATATTTACACAGAAATGAAATCCAAACACATCAAAGGAATTTGATATGTTGTAGACCAAAGCTCTTAACCAAAAGAAAAAATAATTGTTATTAACCATGTTGTTTTCGAAAAATGAAAATATCAAATTTCATACATTTGAAAAATTTCTTCTCCAAAATTTGCGATATTAATTTTAAACGTTCTAAAAAATGAATTTAACACTTAAAGTAATTTTTTTCCGTGAGTAAATTCAAGTAGGGAGGTGTAACATTTAAAAATTATTTTTGTAGTAACTTTTGAAAAGGAAAAATTGTCACATTGTTAACTTTAAAATTGTAGAAAAATAAAATTTATCAGGTAATAAATTTGCTTTTTACCTCGAAAGTAATATCAAACTCAAACATAATTAAATTTAAAAAAAACTGAAAAGTTTTCAGTAGAAAGAGACATTGAACAAATAGCAAAGAGGAGTAAATCCTTAGACAGTCCTTTTACGTTAATGAGAGAGCGGTATTGACATTTATGTAGTTACTAATTACTGATTAATTTAAATGATAATCCTTCGTTGTCAATTCTTAAAAAAAAAAAAAGTTGGTGAATTATTCAGGAGCAATAAAGGTAGCGCGAATAATAACGAAAATAAAAATATGTGTGACATTAAAGTGGTAATATATTAAAAGTAACGATAAGAATCATGAATATGGAAACAATATAATGCCCGTTTAATTTCCGGGGCCAATTGCAGAGTAGAGAGTAGGTCACAAATTTAGTAAAACTTTATTTTCTTGGTACTACACTCTATTGCAATGTCTGTCTGTGATGTTAATTCGTTTTTCTGGCGAGCCAACTACCATACCTAGTACCTTCTACCGACAACTACTTTCTTCAATAATATCTTTCCTCCGTCTGACCTTAATTACATTAACTTGGCGCTAGCATTCACCCTCTCGAGGAGCTTTAAAAATCATTACTTTTATTTTATCACAACTTTCAACATTTATATCATCATCATCATCATCATCATCATTGTTATTAATAAAAAATAATTATAATAAATTCCGCCTACCGTCGACCTACTATCAAGGAATTTTCAAAGGGTGAAATTTAATACCCACTTAAAGTTACGGGAAGATACGCCGATATTTTTGAGATAAAAAAATTTTTTTTTAGCCAAAAAGTTCAATTAGTAGAAAATTGTAAATATTTCTATGACACTGAAGTTAGTAGACGTCTAAAAATTTTTGATTTTTTTTTTTTAATTAAATTAAAACTAAAAAGATATTTATAAAAAATTGCACTTATAGTTTTTCAAGTTTTTAACATGTGATATTTTTTTTTTTTAATTGTTTGATTGAAATTTTTTCGATAAAAAATTTCGAAATGTCAGCTAACTTCATTTTCATATATTTCTCAATATTAATAAAGTATATTTTATATATCGTTTGATAATTAACAAATTAATTAGACGGAATATGCTGACAATAAATTGAAATAAAATTAACCTCAATAAAATTTATCTCCGTGTGAATACTAAAAAGCAAAGCGTATAATGGAAAGAAAATTCCAACTGTACAACGAAAGAAATATCCCACAATGTTAGACAGAAGTTATAGTCTCTACAGCCCCTAAAGTTCCAGCTATTCCAGAATTCATATCTAATCTAAGTTTACACTAGCAATTTAAACGCAAGTCCATTAAACTTAAGCTCCGTGTAAGTTTATTATTTCGCACCTGAAAAAATCCCAAAACAAATTTCTCACCAATTATACTCAGCAATGATGTGATGTAGAGATATGTACAGTGTGTTAATAAATAGTATATTACATACCTAGGCCAGTAAAATAAGAAAAGTCTCAGATCACATGTAATTGTTGGCCGAGGCGAAGCCGAGGTGGACAAACATGTGATCTGAGGCTTTCTTATTTACTGGCCAAGGTGTGTATACTATTTTTCTGCTCGACGTAGCCGGAATGTGGCAACTTTGTTTAGCGCAGCGGCCAGAAAGTTGCCACGTTCCGGCCGGAGGGCAGAAAAAAAATGTAACATTTCAATCTAGATATCTCGGTCAAGAATCGTTACAAACGAGGACTAAATAATTCAACAGATTCAATAGCTGTCAGTATTGTTTATCCGGTCATTTTATCGTGTCACCGAATTTTTATCAGAGATTTTTCTATCTGATACCGCGCCCAATTGAATTAAATCCTCATATTGACAAACATTTTTTCCAACTACGTAAACAGAAAAAAAAAAGATTCTACACTACCCAGAAATTTTTCACCACTCTAGTTTATTGATTGATTAAATTAGTAACTCTAAAAAAATGTCGAAAGAATTTTTTAGAATAAAAAAAAAACCATATAATTACGTCGAGAATTGAACCCTGCTCTCCCGCGTAAAAGTCCAGTGGTTTTTGTTCGTCGCCAATGTCTCCCAGGTGACCTACCGCAAATCGAATAAAAAAAATTATATTCATGAACTAGAGGTAAAATAGCACCAGAAAATCGACAAATTGAATGAATTTCATTTTCCAAAACTTTTTGTAACGACAACGAGAATTTTCATCAGATAAAAATGTTGTTTAAACAGCAAGGCGGTGTTAAAAAATAAAAACAATAATCCCGGATGATGGATCGGGTGTCGAATCAAAAAACCAAGACATTTATCTGATAATTTTGTCAGAGTATTAAACGATCACGAGATTGATTAAGATGAGGTACACGTCACAGTATGAAAGGGGATGGAAGGGCGAGGACTAAGCTACTACAAGTTGAGCGTTATACGCTGTAGGTTCTCCTACAACAACTACTGCTATAACTAAAACTACAACTACAACTTCAGCTACTAGCATCAGGGGGACAAGATGAAGACGAAGATGTCAAGGATGTTAGGATGCGCGTGGTCGTAGCAATTTCAGTTGGTAAGTTTTGTCGAGGCTAGGCAGAGTTCCTCGATTTAGAAAATATCGAACAGCAAAGTTTCCCTCTGCCCTGCTCCTCAACGGTTCACTTAACTTCACAACATCTCCATCTTATTCACTCCCCACTCGTCCAAGTCTTTCTCATTTCTCCGTATCTTACCCATCAGCATCGCCCACCGGCTCACCCCTCGAATCGCACTCCGGGTCACACTTTGCTTACTCTATCATTCCATTACTCTATCATCCCATCTCCTTCTCTTCGTCTCTCCTCCCACAGCCTACCCTCTATTTACCCCATCATGGCAGAGTTTCTCTGGCCCCCTCGCTAAAGTCACCCCAAGGTATACTGTTCGCCATGTTAGCTAGCACAGGGTGGTTTTGCCCAACGCCAATTCTCCGCGGCTCATCGTGTGCCTTTCCAAGTCGCGTCTCGACGCTTCTAACTTCGATTGGACTCGCGTGCTTGTGTATATATGTGTGTATATATTTATGTACCTGAGTTGAGTAGTCGCATAAAGAAACTAAAAAGAGTAAAGCTCTTTCTCATTCTCTCTTTCCTACGGTTTATATATCGTGCATGCGAAAGCTTGCGAGTCGGCATATTAATAATGTACCTGAAAGCACCCCGTGTGCTTCGTAGAAACGTAATCTGTCTTTCTATTCCACGTCATTCCTTTTTCTCGGTCTTACTTTTACTTGGCTTTTACTTTTCTAAAGAACTCACCGCTTTTCTTTAATGTCTATTTTGAATGCTATACATTTTTATTTTGGGTTTTAAGTCACTGGTTAGGTTTCTGCTTTCATTTTTTCGACAATTTTTTGTCTTTATGAGAGTAAGTAATTTAATAAAATTTGTTTTTAATAATATAGAAGGAATTTTTAGTATTTAATTATTAGACTTTAAAAAATTTTTAAAGAAAGAAAATATATATTTTTCTTTTATCAAATTAAAGAAAAAAGTGATATTAATTTTAGAATCTCGAAATAAATTTGTAATTTTTAAACAAATAAAGACTATTTTTTTATTTTTATTCAATTAAAAAAAAAGAAAAATTTAGGCTGCGGAATTTTTTTTATTATTAAAATAAATAAAATTACTCTCGTAGTGAATTTTGATCTTTTAATATTTTTTATTTAGTTAAAGATTATTGAACATAATTTATTAACTGATAATAAATATTTATTAAGAATTAAAAAATCTTTAGTTACATTTAATAAATTGTTTCCAAATAAATGAATTCATTAGAATCTGATAACTTTTTCCATCAGTGCGAAAATATAAATATTGGAAGATCAAATGGAAAATGTAATTGTAGATTGAAATTGAAATTTTTTCATATTTCTAAACGATAGAATATAAACTTTGAGCTTTGAACTATGAACTATGAACATAGGAAAGTATATATTTAATTAGATCCACATTTCAATTTTTACTTCAAAGAGATCTTTCTCATATGTGCACATAGTTTGATCCCGAGTGCACCAAAGGACTGAGCAAAACCTTTTTTACGCAGTATGTCATTCTATCCTCACCTACAGAGACTCCGGGTATCAGAACTTAATTTACTCTCAGTGAAATCCTTTGTAAGTGTGAAAATAAAATAAAATTTATAGTTTTGAAATTTCCGCAGTTTTTTATTTTAATAAAAACTTTTACGGATAGAATAAATAATCCTTTAATCCATCAAAAAATTTAAATAAAAAAAAAGTGAATTTTCTTATTGAAAATTGTATTGAGCCATTTAGGAACTCAAATTTTATGTTATATTCGATATTACAATAACTAAAAATTCAATCAGCCTTTTCATGATTCCTTAGCATAAAAAGTTAGAAAAATGCAGTAACTGGGTACTTTATTGAATAGTTAATTTAGTAGTAGCGTTATAATACTAGTAAAGATTTACCGTTTTGGTATAATATTTGAATAGATTCTATTTGAGTATACAGTGATTTAAATACAAAGATGTATAATACCGTAGATCGCGTACACGGTGAATTGAATTTTACATTCTAAAACCACAAGTTTCGACATTTCAATAAGATTCTGCCCGGGGAATTGAGTAAAGCGGATTTGTGTACGAGTATAAAAAAAAATAAAGTTAAGAATAAATAAAGTAAGGAGGAAAGAAAGAAATAAAGGAATGGAAGTAACCAAGGGAGAGTTCTAGGCTGAAAAAATAGGGAAAAAGCTCTGTTTTTCTGATCTGTACCGAGGAGAACGAGAGAAACAACGCAAGTCAAGTAAATACAACATTCTATACCAAGAATCAAGACATTTTCCCTCAGGCAGGAAGTGGAGCCGCAACGGCTGCAAGAGTTTGTTTGGAGTTGGATTTAGAATGGGTCTAAACTTCGGTTGGAGGTCGTACTACCTTACTATCTCACCCTCTAATGGTCTGACAGTATCGCAACACTTCTACTCAATCTCGCTGCCCACTTTGTGTCTATTTTCCAACAACACACATAACATACACAACATATATGCCAAGAACACACTGAATTGTTTACGAGTCTGCCGAGTTTTCCTCCTGTAATTACTGCTGCAAAATATTATTTCAACTTTTATTTTTATTTACAACTCTTTCTATTTTGTAATTACAGTTCGTGGAACTCATAAATTTTTATTGAATGCTTCATTCGGGAATATTGCTCGGATAAATGCAAAAAAGTTTGCTGGAAAAAAAAAATAATGGAACAAATTTTTTTTATTTTACTGGCGCCGGGAATCGAACTCCGCTCGCCCGAGTAAGAGTTTTGCGGTTTCGCTCGTCGCCAGCGCTAAAATTGTGACCTAACTCTGATCGAAATAAAAAAAATATGCTAATGTAGTGGAGGTAAAATGGAGACAAAATATGCCGGTTATTACCAAATTTTCTGGCCCATAACCTTTAAAAATTAATTTCTATAGTTTCTTTTCGACGAAAATTGTATTGAAAGCATTTTCAGCGAATAAATATTTGTATAGACTGGTCAATAAAAAATTAGAGTTAAATGATGGAACGCAGATCGGATAAATGAATAGATCTGTTGAGTTATCGGTGGAATGAA